ATGGTACTGTTCACACCAAGTTGTCTATATTTAAGCCTTCAACATTAGATGAACTTTCATCATTATCCGGACTGATTTGAGTAGTTTTATTTGATTCTTTGATCATTCAATTCGATATTGTGAGTTGAATGAATCAAACACTTGACCAATTTACCGGTTTTTCAACCAAACTAGCTAGTCTCACCCGGTTTTCGTAACTATGATGAAAATCATTGTTGATTAACGTTTGTCGAAATTAGAATATCTTAAATTGTACTGGTTCTTTGGTCGACAATTGTTAACAAAATAAGTTGGGAAATCTTGTTCCTTACAAAAGAGAATGCCAACGTTTCCTTTGATATGGTAGTCATTGTTAATATGCTTATTGAATTAATTATAATGGTTAGCATGCATCTCAATTCTTATGTTTATCAATAGTTATTAATTGGATAATTGATTGTTGTGGAATGCAAATTGCCGTTTTGCCCAGTCTGTTTGATGTCATGCAATGAGCTCATTTGGTGTGGATATTATGTTTTTAATTAATGGTTTGTATTCAATGAGCTCATTCTCAATTTGTATTCAAAAAATTAATATTCAAATTGAGAAGTAATTTTTATGGAACTGACTTATTGAATTCTTTAATAAAAAAGTGTATATTGATATATAATATTTCAACTACGGTAAACTGTAAACTATAACCCAAAAAAAAAAAAAAAATCATTATAGGAGGCAAACGATGGAGATAAATTTGTCTATCAATGTACTAAAAATAAAGGTATCACAAGTTTGCATCTTTCTACAAAAAGCAAAGGTATCACAAGGATATTAATGTCAAGTTAGAGAAAAAGAGAGAGGATATAATCAAGAGATAATAAGTGTATAAAACACGTATTTAGAACCTGGATATATGGAACCCATGCATCTTCATTGCCTACTGGAATCGTCTAATTCATATCATCTCGACCAAATTCACTAGTGTTTAACCTGTCATTGATAGTTTTAAGCTCAATTTTGAACATTCTCATTGTTGATTCAAAGTGTAATTTCACTTTTATGCTTGCGTTGAGAAATCTTGCTTCCAACGGGTGTTTTAAAACTCAACCGCCAATTGATTCGATTGAGGTATTGAGTTATTAGATTATTAGTTCAACCGGTGAATTATTGGTTAATTAAATTTATATTAAATTATATAATAAATAAATTATAAAGTGCATTTAGACTAATAATTGAAGGTAGTCTAGTCGTACAAGATAACACTACTCGTTCACATATGTTGGGTGCGATTTCCAACCAATATAAAAAGTGAAATATTTTGTCCAATTGACCAATTCGAATCTGGATTTTAAAACACTGCTTCTTACTAGAAGTGTTAACGAGCTGAGCTGGACTGGGCTGTGATATTAAAAGTTTAAGTGTGTTTAAATATGTCAATATAATTATTGGCGAACTTTGATTTTAAAAGACTAAGTTTGTATTTAAATATGTCAATATAATTATTGGTCCGTGACCTGACTTATTTACAAAAAATAAAAGTCTTGCTTAGCCTTTTAAAAAAGATTCATAAACTCAATGTATATCCAAACAACATAATACAGAACAAGTCTGCTTAACCAATAAACTAAGGTAGTACAAAATTGTTATCAAAAAAAAAAAAAAAAAAAAAAAAAGGTAGTACAAAATTCTGAATATCCAAAAAAATAAAAGATTACAAATTTTGGGTAAACAATTTAATATATTCATATCAACAATTTAATATATTTCGATGTTGCCTATTCTTACATAAAAAAAACAAGTCAAATTATTTTTGACATTCAATCATAATATCATAAGATATAAAATATTTAAATTAATTAAGTAAATTAATACCTTATGTTTTTTCTTTATGTCATACGTAACCAATTTACACCACAAATTAATGCTTGAACCGTATTTTCAGCCAAACTTGCCCGATAAGCATCAACGACTCTTACACCAACACTAAATGTCGATTCAGATACGACTGTAGAGATGGTATTGCTAATAATAACAAGATCGTGTGTATACCGTAGCTTTGGAGGGTTTGATCGTCCTTGAGGATCCGACCCTTATAAATCAGACGTTGTTGATCGATGGCTTGAGTGGGCTAGGTGCGATGATGAGAGTGAAAATTAAGTTAGTATAAAAAATAAAAAATAAAAAAGAGAGTTAGTATGTCAGCATGACGGACTTTAAAGTCAAATTTTTGAATTGAAAACTGAGACTTTTTTATTAAATAAATTTTTATACAAATCTAAATCTAAATCCAACAACCTAAATACACAAAACCTGAGGCTATACGAGCCGGCCGAGCCTGACTCTTTTAAGACCCCTGCTTCCAACTATTGCACGCCCATATCAATGTTCTATATTTGAATTGTCCAACATATTTTTGGTCACTACCTACTCACTTTTATATGAAACACAGAAATGATTTTCCCAAACTTAAATTACCAGGATTTATACTATGTACCAAGCACAATCTTAGTTCTATACTATTCTTATATTTTAAAAAGGCAAGCAAATCCAGATTCATTATTAAGAAAAGTTGTAATATACTTTAATAATAATATTCTCAATAGCTGAAATTTAATTTAAAATTTATAAATAATATTTTAAATTTAATGCAACAACTTACATAATTATACAGTTCATATGTCATGTTTTTATTTAATTGAACGTAATATTTTAAAAATATACAAGATTCTGTCTAATTTCGGTCAATACAATGTCACAACTCACAATATAGAAGATTTCGCCTTTCATTCAACTAGCGACTTTAACAGTGTTTCTAGCTTAGCCTGTTTAGATTTGGCGTAAAAACCTTTTCCATGGATTTTGTATTACATTTACCATACAATTACAGGTCAAAATATTTTTTTGGAGTTACCGAACTCTAATTACCTCTTTGAAGCGAGTTGGCTCCTTCCGGTATCCCCACGAAGAGTCAAAATATTTTGTGATAGAGCGAAATTGCAATATGTATTCTTATTTGAAAATATAATTATTTATACAATAAAAAAATTAAAAAAATATTCAAATTTAATGCTTTTATAAGTTCCAGGAGGACGATCCTTAATTATATAACAAAAAATAAAAATAATATTTAGATGTAAATGATTATATAAATTTGAAGGGGTGTCAGCCATCTCTCACTTCCCCACCGAGCGTAGTCGGAAACAAAAGCACTCAATTTAGCTTTTCGACGAACCAACGATCAAAGTGAAAATATAAAACAAGTGATATTCAATTAAAATATTTGAAAAGTAAAATTTACAAAAATTAAAATTAGGTTTCATAAAGTTAGTGTCTATTTCGGAGTCATTCCACTTTTACAGAGACGTTAAGTTCTTCTTCTTAGTATATTTGACACTAAATAACAGGTAGAGAGCAATTTAGTTTTCTAACATTGAAATTACAAACTTTAGAAATTGATTTGTTTTAATAAAATAAGAATTGGTGTAATTGTTAAATAAAATTTTGTCAAAAGATTAAAGTAAGTGTTAATTTAATATTTTTTTTATATTTTAATCTTAATAATTTTTATTTTAATTATTTCATTACAAATAAACCTTGTATTTTACCCCCCCCCCCCCCCCCAAAAAAAAAAAAAAAACACTGACATATAATTAAACATTCTAAAGTGATTATTTTGTTTTGAATTATCAATAGATATGATTTCAGATAGAATAATTCAAAAAGTTTCTAATTAATATTTTAATTATTAAATGAAAAAGTAATACTTTTTTATATTTTTAAGATAATAAATATATTTAAAATATTATATTAAGTATATAAAAAAGATTAATTACATTTATACTTTTACTAATTACATAAAATATTATTTTAAACGATTATTTAACGTTTATTAATTAATATTTCTCTTTCTTATTAAGTAAAAAATATTGAATAATATTTATACTTTCAATTACATTTACTTTTCATGTAATGCTTTCTTCATTTGATTTTAAAAAGATTTTGAGAAAAATAAAACAAGCTCCTTTATTTATCGACGTAAGTTATTACTTTTTCCCTTTAACAATATAACTAATTATTGTTATACAATCATGTCTGAACCGAGTTTCTATATAAAAACGTAAATTAGAAAACAGAATAATATTTCTGCAGTTACTTAGTGCATATAAATTATATGTATTTACTCTCAAAATGACGTCGTCTTGGGATTAAAAATTAAATAATTATAATTATAAAGACTATAATAACCCTGAAATAAATTAAAATTACAAAAATACCATAATTTTCGTTTCAAAACGACGTCGTATTAGGTTTACTGGATATAAGTTATCTGCGGAAAAAGCGAACCCATTGAAAAAATGACACGAAATGGAATTTTTTTTTTGGTAATATCAAAATGGAAAATTTTTATTACTTAAAGTCAAGTCACAAAATTATATATATATATATATATATGTGTGTGTAAAAAAATTTATCACATAAATCATTACTCAAAATTTAATAAATAGCTTCACCGTCCTCGTTTCATTAATAATTAATCAAGTCACATAATTATACGAGATATAAGTTCAAAAACATAAAATGAGAAAATTGAGTTTAAAAAAATGGAAATGAATTTTTAATTTTTATCCATTTTTATTAAGAACTTTTTTACTTGCATTTCCACATATTTTTACACAACATTTCTACATGTTTTTATACTGATTTCGCTTTTTCTGTAATTACTGTAGATAAATTATTTGCACTAAGTTTATTACGACGTCGTTTTGAGCAAAAATTATTGTGTTTTTATAATTTTAATTTATTTTAAGATTATTATAATTTTTATAATTATAATTATTTAATTTTTCAATATCAAAACAATATCATTTTGAAAATAAATACACGTAACTTATCAGTTATCAGCCAGCAAAATATTAATGTGATAATATATACAATGTAACATGCTCAATGATCCATAATAATAATGTTAATAATAAAATTAAAAATGATCTGCGAGGACGTAACAATTTGTTGATAAAGAATGACGAGTTGAGGCACTTTCACTTCGTACTCGTCGCCCACACTGTATTCTCTTTACACTTCAGTTTTTCAGTGAATCTCGTAATCTTATTTAGATCTCATCATATATCGTATCCTCTTCCAACTCAATTCGATTCGGTACGCTATTCAAGCTCTTTAATTGTAGATCCATCACTTAGTTATAGTTGAGTTTTTATTAAACATCGTTAATCCTTAATAATCAACTGTTTCTGTTTCGATTTTTTGTTTTTTGTTTTTCTGTTTCAGATAATGGCTTCTTCAGTGCTCTCCATAGCTTCACACTCGGTCTCTCCCTCTTCTTCACTATCGATGCACGAAAAACAAAAGGTTCTTTTTTCTGCTTATTCACCAACACATTTGAATATTTTTACCTTTTCATGATTTAACGTTGGTGTTGTACAGGGAAAGCCCAAGCTTGGAAGCAACAGAGCCAACCCCTTCTCGAATTCAAGAGTAAGTAACTCTCAACTAAGCTTGATACTTCAATTTTTTATTTTATTTTTCTTGCTTTATTACACTATGATCCATTGGTTATGACTAATGTTAATGGCACTCCCTGTTAACTATTTATGTTCTTCACTAACACACTAACTACTTATGATTCTAATTTGTTAAATTATCCTCACTTTAGTAGTTTCTTTACTCAATTTGAACTGTAACTAATTATATTCGTATTTTTGCAATTGAAAGTAGTTGATTAGGAGTGTGGATAGAAGATTTTGAATGCCAATTATCCCTATCTTGATCAATTTCTTTTTCTCTGTGTTCTAATTTGATGTCTGTTGAATTTGTTTAACAGTCTTCGGGTCGGATCTCTATGGCTGTTGCAGTTAATGTTTCTCGATTTGAGGGCATTCCGATGGCTCCTCCTGATCCAATTCTTGGAGTTTCTGAAGCATTTAGAGCAGACAGAAACGATGTCAAGCTCAATCTTGGAGTTGGGGCCTACAGAACGGAGGAACTGAAGCCATATGTGCTTGATGTTGTTAAGAAGGTCTTTGTTCCTTACTTGATTTGTGTGCAATGATTTGTTGGTGTACTTTTGTCCCCAGTTTGCACAAGTCCCTTGCCATATAATTGTTCCTAATTTTAATCTATTTTTGAATTGAGTTGGTATTGATTTGTATGAAATTCTTTTTTTTAGGCAGAGAATCTTATGCTGGAGAGAGGGGAAAACAAGGAGGTAATTTTCTTTACATCATATGTCTTTATGTGTGGCATGGAACTATTGGCCTTTAGATTATTGACTATGATTTAACTTTCAAATGCAGTATCTCCCTATTGAGGGTTTGGCTGCATTTAATAAGGCAACTGCAGAGTTGTTACTCGGAGCAGACAACCCAGTAATCAAACAGCAAAGAGTATGTTGTGGATTTAGAAAATATAGATGTCTTGAAGGATATAACATTTATTGGTTATGAGAAAATGGAAACAGCAAATAATCACCTTTTTATCTTTTTCATTTTTTACTTGCGTTATTCAATTGCACCCAGGTTGCCACTGTCCAAGGTCTTTCTGGAACTGGTTCTCTGCGGCTAGGTGCAGCTCTGATAGAACGATATTTTTCTGGGGCTAAAGTTTTGATATCAGCTCCTACCTGGGGTGTGTTTTTTATTCCTTTCTCTGTTTAACTTGTTCATGATATTTGTTTTGAGGGAATTCATACCTCATGGATAACATTATTGTCTTGCAGGTAATCACAAGAATATTTTCAATGATGCTAGAGTCCCATGGTCTGAGTACCGATATTATGATCCCAAGACAGTTGGCTTGGATTTTGAGGGCATGATAGAAGATATAAAGGTTACATCCTGATCCAGAATTTTTAAGTGAAAGTTACTATACTTCTATATGGACTATGAAGAGTGTTTTATTTAACTGCTTTGGATTAGACATTGATGTGCAAGAATGTTCTAGCTGATCTTCTCTTTTCCTCATTTGATCTTTCAATTTAGGTGTTGACACTTGTCATTTTTACACAAAATTCATGTTTTCAAATATATCTTTCACTTAAAAACAACTGATGGCATTGTTTTGATTAGCATATGTTGTTGCAGTATAATGGTTTTCAATGAATAATTGATTTAGTAATTGTAACTTCAGCATCTTGTTATTAAGGCAGGCACAGAAACGTTAACTCTCATTTAGTTTTCAGATTAGTTCAATTCTAGATAAAATTGAACTGTGCCTAATTGTACGTTTTTACATTTTTATAGTCAGCTCCTGAAGGATCTTTTGTGCTACTTCATGGATGTGCTCATAACCCTACTGGTATTGATCCAACACCTGAACAGTGGGAAAAAATAGCTGATGTAATTCAAGAAAAGAACCAAATTCCATTTTTTGATGTCGCTTACCAGGTACCAATCTTTGGGTAAATGAGCTATCATTTAATTGAATTTCTGGATAGCATATATCAAACACCATTAACGTATTTGAAATTAATGACAAATTATCTTTATAGAGAATGATATTGATACATTTTAAAATAGGTAGATATTGTACAGTCACCTTGAATCTATTTCACAACATACTGAACTCATTGAATTTTAGGGGTTTGCTAGTGGAAGCCTTGATGCAGATGCATCATCTGTGAGAATGTTTGTGTCACGTGGCATGGAGGTTCTTGTAGCTCAGTCATACAGTAAAAATCTGGGTCTCTATGCTGAAAGGATTGGAGCAATCAACGTCATTTCATCATCACCAGAATCTGCAGCAAGGTGTGGTTAATTAAGCATGCCATGCTTTCTCATATCTGAAATTGAATGAACATATCTAAGAAAAGATTGAGTCTGTTTAATTTACTCTGTTCAAGCATTTCTATTCCTTTTCTAGAAAGGTGAAGGGATCATTTTATCAATTAAGTACTGGTAGTATGAAATAGTTGCAATCTGATGCCATATTGTTATGATAGACTGTCTTAACATCGTGACAAAAATGCTCAAGTTTTATTTTAAAAAAGAAGATATCTTAGACTCAACTTGTTCAGGCCAATAAAAATACCTCAGTAAAAGTTCTGTCTTTATCAAGAATTTGGTAAATATGTATTTCAGGGTAAAGAGCCAATTGAAAAGGATTGCCCGACCAATGTACTCTAATCCACCTATTCACGGAGCTAGGATTGTTGCGGATGTTGTTGGAAACCCTGCTCTCTTCAATGAATGGAAAGCAGAGATGGAAATGATGGCTGGAAGAATAAAGAATGTTCGACAGCAGCTATATGATAGCATTTCTTCAAAAGACAAGAGTGGAAAGGATTGGTCATTCATTCTCAAGCAGATAGGCATGTTCTCATTCACGGGCTTGAACAAGGACCAAGTAATTGACTCCCCTTATGACTTCTTGGCTGTGATCATCTTGTGGCTTTTATATTTATCTTGAATCCTATTTCTTCGACTCTATTAAAATTATATGAATCCATAATTTGGTTTCACTGTATTGCAATATCGACTGTGTTCTTAATGATATCTTCTTTCTGATCAGAGTGACAATATGACAAATAAGTGGCATGTGTACATGACAAAGGATGGAAGGATTTCCCTGGCAGGATTGTCGTTGGCCAAATGTGAATACCTTGCCGATGCTATTATTGACTCGTTTCATAATGTCAGCTGAAACTCAATGAAATATGCAGTAGAACCAAGCTTGTATTTTTGGTGAGTATTATCCCCAATCACAGTGGTTGGCATACATGAAAATAATTTAGTTATGTATGCATTGTCATACGAATGTACCTTAAAATCCATTAGGAAATTTTGTAAGTTGAAGCAAAGTATTGATGCATGAGTTTGCTTCTCAGACTTTGAAGCAAGTTGAATCAAAGTATTGATGCATAATGAGTATGTTTCTCAATTCATGTGGGTAAGATTCAATAAAGCATTATGACAATATTTTTGTTGGATGCATCTGTTTCAGTTGCTAGTCAGTTTCTTTTCTAATCCTGCTTCCAATATAATCGAATCATTTATATTGATAGAAATCTTGAAGAGTTCTCCCATGTCATTTATTGTGATTGACGATGAGGTAATTAGAAGAACCAGTAAAGTAAAATAATTGACCATTGGATTAAAAAAATTACACGGTTTTATATATATATATATAGACAAGAAAAAGAGGGACATTGTGTGTGTGTGTGTGTGTGTGAGAGAGAGAGAGAGAGAGAGAGAGAGAAAGAGAGATCAATCTGTACTGTCGTCAGTTCTCTATGCTGCTTTCCGTAATTTGTCAACCCAATTAAAATCACATGGATCATAGACTCTCTTTTATAATAGAATGGCTCTGTCATCTGGATTTCTGGACTCTGGACAAGTAACTATGTTGGAACTCCTTCAAAGAAGTTCCCTAGTTGACTCCTTTAAATCACTAACTAGTATTAAATGTTTGCAAAGAAATCACAGAATAAGCTAACTACATTTATTCTTCTCCCGATTTAGCACAACAATAATTTATACATAGATTACTTGTAGCCTGATTTGCTGAATTTCATTTCATACAACCAAAAGAGAATGAACGATAATCAGATCCTCTAAACAGTTCAATATTCGACACAATCACCACTCTATACACACAAAATTTCACAGAAGTGAAAGTAATTTCTTCTTTACATTTGTCTTTAACAACCCAATGCTCTTTTACACCATTTAGGCCTACTTTCTTTCCTTATAAACGTGTATTGTAGGAACAGTGTGGTTGTTATGGATCTGTCTGTAATTTCGAGCCCCTTGATAAAGCCTCACAGATTCTCACTGCATGTTGTTGTCTTATATTGATAGTGACTATCGTTGACTAGAACTCACAGGTGGATTCTGCTGGTAAGACTTGTTGTTTTACTTGTGAAACTCTCAGTGTTCCTCCAAGCTCAACGGGTACAAGAGGGATGAGCGAGTGTAGAACATCTGTAATCAGTGGGCGATAACTTGGTTCTGGTTGCACGCATAGCACAGCCACAGCAGCAACCTAGAGTGTACAAAGTCAAGGTTACAATTAAACAGAATATGATAATGAAAAGACATTGAAGAGACAGTGTGTTCAGAATTCCATTAGGAACCTAGTACTAGTATTATTACTATTATCATCGCACCAGAGGTGTGTTTGGTACAAGAGAAATTTTTTGGTATTCAGAAATCACGATTAATGAGAATACAATAGAAATTGAGTTTACTTGGAATCTTACGAAAAATGTGTTTGGTTCGCCAAAATATTACCGAGAATATCGGGTAAAAATTACTGATTCCATATTTGGTTTAGAACGAAATATGACTTGGAATATGAGGTTATTTTACAAAAATAACTCTAAACTATTTTTAACTTTTGTAATTGATAGATTGGGCCTAAATTTTTATGTGTGTTGGGGTATTTTTGTCTCAAAAATTATTGTTGTGTTTTCCCTTTACTTGGTATTCTGAATTATCATATTATTTTTGGTAATATGAATAGTGACTTTTCTTTATAAATCAAATTACCGGTAATTCTTGGATATCCGGGGACTGATTTTTGTTCCTTCTACCAAACATGGTAATTGCGTTTATTAAAGAAGGTTCACGAGTAATCCTTTTTGGAATACTTGTACCAAACACACCCAAAAGGGTAAGTAGAAAACCGGGAATGGTGTCTAAGTTCTGACTCTTGAGTTTATCAAACCTGGTATAAGTGCTTGAGATCCATTGTATTCTTGATCACAGGATCCACAATGTTTGGAAGCTTGGATCTGTCTGTAAGCTGTGGCATGGCCTGCAATCATCATAAATAGCTATGTCATTTCCATATCAACCCGATTAAATTTGGAGTTTAATTTATCTCTTACACACACATAAAAATGTGTGTGGAGCCCATATTTTTTTTTCTTCTCATATGAGCCCATATGAGCTCAATAAACTTTTATATTTTGTAGGAAATAAATTTATCTCCTACAACATGAGAAATATTAAATCCTTAAATTTGATCAATCAACCCATACCCATGTGACAATAGATCTGCATTGAGCTGGTGCCAATTTTTCCACAGGTTTCCTTCCCAATAGAAGCTCCAGAAGCACGACTCCAAAAGCATAGACATCGCTTTTATCAGTCAATTTACCTGTAAAAATAATTTAAAAGCAATCTCCTCATTAGTTTTGCTATAGGTGAATTTCACACATAGTTTCTCATTGTTCCATGAACTGAATAAAAACCCGTGTGAATCCTAGCTATTTCATTCACATCTCATGTTAACTGTTAAATATCTACTTTAATTCACAAAGAATCTCTTAATAGTTAAAAATAAAGTAGCAAACCCTGCCAGATTATCGAAGTTCTCAACTGAATAATAGAAAGCTCATAGGCTTTCAAGCTGAAGAAAACCTTCCAATGTTTCCCATCTTTCAGACAAGAATCTAATTCCACCTCACTGATGCTTGCTGACACAGTAGTTGTGAACACATTTTAGTTCCTACTCTCACGATATATATATTTATTATCATTATTATTTTTATTATTATCACTGACTAGAAGCAACTGGAACAAACTAGGCATATGAGATTGTAACGTGTAACTGACAGGATATTAATTTAATAATCTGTATGCACAGATCATAAAACTCACTACAAAACTCATTACATCATTAATGCATCAAGGGTCCAAAAAACCAATATCTTGGATCTGATTTGTTGAAAGCTTAACGATATATTAAACATATAGCAACTTGTCAGACCAATGCATATGCAGTGAAGTTATATCAAGTTCAGTTGGCATACCATCTAAAAGATACTCTGGGGCTACGTATCCCAAGGTGCCTGAAAGCTTCATGTTGTTCTTGTTTTGGGACCCATCAGTTATGGCAAGACCAAAATCAGAAAGCTGAATCCACCAATAATTCATGGGCAGCACATAGAAAAAGAAGCTTTGGTGAACACAATAAATGTATGGTAGAAAAAAGGAAATAATTTATACAGCAATTTCAATATGGTCTTTATTTTACCTTGGCATTGAAGTTTGCATCTAAAAGAATATTAGAAGATTTCAGATCTCTATGGATCACCGGAGGGTAACAGTGCTCATGTAGATATTTTAATCCTCTGGTTGACATTAATCAATAGCATGTTTACAGACAATAGAGCAAATAGAAAGATAAAGAACTGATTAATGAAGCTTACCTTGCTGTGTCAAGAGCAATCTTCATCCTCATATGCCAAGTCAAAGCCGAGCCACAAGAAGGTCCTTCACATGATCATATTTTGGAAAACAAAGAGATTAATATTATTTATGTACCAAGAAAATAGGTTAGTGTTATTTTATAGTTGACCTCATTATCTTTCAATTTGTGTCTTGTACTAGGTAATAAAAATCAGAAACAATGTTTTACCATGTAATTGAGTTTCCAATGATCCATTATGCATCAATTCATAGACAATAAACCTCGTATCTTCATTACTGCTACAACCCAGTAGAGAAATTACATTTGGATGTTGAATTTTGCTTAACAAATCCACCTCATTCTGCAAATTCATCCAACTATTCAACACAAGATTTTTTTTTTTTAAAAAGAAGAAGAGCAAAATGAATAAATTATTAATTGGCATTACATTACCTCAAATTCTCGTTCAGCATCCTGACATTCACAGTGCAGTTTCTTGATGGCAACGTCCAAATTATCATCAAACCTAGCCTTGTAAACACATCCAAAACCACCCTCACCCAAGATGTTACTTTCCCTGAAATTGCCGGTGGCTTTTTCTATTTGCTTATAATCAATTATTGGAACACTCCCTTTCTTACCAACCATCTTGACAGAACTGAATTTACTCAAAAATGGAGCTAAAGCGAGCCCTTTCTCAGCATCTTGGCATTAAAAAAACAGAACAAGGAAAAACTAAGCTCAGACAATAACAAAGGAAGCAAATTAAATGTTGGAAGTTTCTTCACATCCCCAGAATTGTGAAGCAAAACAGGAATCTAACAAATGAAATAGTGAAGAAGAAAAAAAAAACCTGAGCTTTGAAGGTTTTTCCTGTTGGATTTTGAATGATACTTGGTGTAATAAATCCAGAAGCAAAGCACACACAAAATGACTGCACCAAGTGCAGTGCTGGCTACGATGAAAGCTATTACCATTTTCTTGTGTGAATCCATTTGTTGCTGTTCATCCCCCATTAGAATACCTGATCAATATGCAGTATATGGCAGCGAGTGAGCATCAAATACATGGGGGGAAAAAAATCTTATACGTTTATATTTTGAACCATTAATAGCAAGTTAATAGAGTTTAAGCAAAAGGGTAGGATCCAAATAATAATAATAAAAGAAAATTTTACTACACGTTATCTGCATTAAGTGCTTGTCATGATTTTGAAATTCAAATTTAAGAACTATTGAATACCAATGCTATCAGAAGAAACATACAGTGATAGAGACAGAAAATGAAACAGAGAGAGAGAGAGAGAGAGAGAGAGAGAGAGAGAGAGTTGAATGAGTACCTGGAGAGGAAGCAGCCATTGATGTGGAAATTGGAGAAAAGGGTGGGACTTGAGGAGAGGAAACAAGAGGGTCTGGTGAGGCAAGAATCAAAATGGGTTCGTGAAGAATAAGAAGAAACATGAGAAGCATAAGAAGAAGCTTAGTTTTCATTGTTTCTTTCGATGTCCCTTAAGAAAACATGAACTTAAAGATATCTGAAGGTAAGGCTTGTGCTGACGCAGCTTGAAAAGGAACACACACGCATGCACATCACTGAGTTTGTGAGCCATTGAAAGTGAATGTGTATGTGTGTGTGTTTTGGATCTTTGAGGCTTGACCACCTTTTTTTTAACTTAAAAAAAAAACAAACAAAGCTTGCTTTTTCTTATCTTTTCAACCATGTTTTTAAGTACTCCATGTCTCATTTTTATTTTTATTTTATTTTTTCACTCCTTTCATTAACTTTCTTCCTCTCTCGCTTTATCAGCATAAGGAAAACTGGAAAAGAGACTGATGCAATTCAACTTTAGGGTGGGGGCAACTGCATAACAATCATGTGCACTCGTGCATTATTTCAACCTCAATTTTTTTTTTTTTTTTCATTTAGTAAATATATAATGTTTTTCTCTTAATTATTACTTTTGTTGTTTAAGTTTTTGAAGTTTTTGTTTATAAAACTTATTAACTTTCACTCTATTGAATTTGTTGGATATGGCTCATATTTCGCATGCTAATGAGAATTTTTATTGTTGGAGTCAGTATAAAGGCATCTAGGATCATGCTCTCAGGTGAGCAGGCGGGGTCCAGAGGCAGCGCCCCGAGACCCGTAGAAACTAGGTATTATTACGAGCCTCTGATTTATTGTAAATTTTCTTTTTCCTAGTAGTTTGGACTTGGGCCCATGGATAACTGTTGTTAGAGTTTTTTCTAATTCTATTTATATTCTCCTTGTAAATCAAGTGACTTGTAACGAATGAGGATGAGGTGAATATAGAACTAAATTGGGTGAACCAAGGTAAATGAGTGTGTTTGTTCTCTCTTTCTCTATTTGTTTGCAATTTGTGTGATTGTCGATTTCCAACAAAAAAAAAAATACATCTTTACCGAATTATATGTTTATTTCTTTTTTCCTTCTCCTTGAAATTCCGAGGCATTTCATTTCAAAAAAAACAAAAAAAACTGAGGCATCATAAATGGAAGAAAAGGAAAAGATTTGAACGCTTGTATGATAACAAATTCCCAAATATAGCTCATTAAATACAGAAATAACTAGCTATACCGTCTTAAAATGACACAAATTTATTATTGGCGATTACAAAGTTGGGACATTCTCTTCTTCGAGGCCTTTCAATCATCATTACAGATATTGCATCATTTTCTTGTAATAATGCATTGACAAGTATATGTCAAATATTAAACAGAGTGAAAACAACAAATTAAATATTGTCATTTGCTTTTCTTATACAATTGTTCAAGCTGGCTTTTTGAACTAACACTAGTTAATTTTCTCTTGATGCTACTAGTTTTACTGAAATAACAATAATACTAAACTTATTTTTAAGTCATTTAAGATTGATTTAACGGTGAATGATTTGGGTAATATGCATGAGGTAGTAATTTTTTATTTTTACAAAAATAACTAATGTTTTAATTGGTCTAAAAAAGGTGTGCATCAATACAATTACGAAATCTTCTAGGTCGATTTTCTTCTTAATAAGGAAAACATAGTTCGCTTCTTAATGACTAGAAATAATTTAAACTTTAAAAAGAAATATAGGTGTCAAGTTATCTTTTTTTATTTTTTTTTTGGAAAAATGATTATTTTCCCTTATAGTACGTTGATGTGAACTTTTATTTAATTAAAAATTTATTTATTTTATAAAATGACAAGAACTTCGACAGGAAACCTTCCTCCGTCAGTCAATATTCCCGAAGAAAAGGATGTATGCATAAAGAATTTGATTTTCTCATGTTGCATGAGAATTCAAATCTCATGCTGTGACTCAACTAGTAGTGGGCCCCATATTTATTAAAAAAAGAAAAGAAAAAAACTTTGCACACAAATCAAAGGATCACTAATATAAGAGTTGAATTCTAATGCAACATGAGAAAAAGTTTTCCCATACATAAAATATACATAACTTGTACAAAGGTGAATGCAAAGTACCAACTGTTAATAATTATTTTACGTTTTTAAGAATTATGAGGTGTTATCACATATTGAGTGTGACATCGTACTTATGGGGGCATCGCTAGAGTCAAGTCACAAAAAATTTAATTTTTCCACTGTCAGACTTCATATTTATAAAGAAAATATTATTCTAGGATTCAAATTCAATACCTGTAATTAAGAGAAACAAATCCCTTGACACTTGAACTAACATAATCGCTGAGATTTCGAATTGGTTTTTTTTGTGTGTGTGTGTGGAAGAATTGGTTTTAACTTCTTGGCTTTTAATTCTCAACTAATTTTATTTATCAAAATCAGTCCACTTGGCGTTTAATTCTCAACTAATTTTATTTATCGTAGAATTTTTTTGACAAAATCTATTTTTCGTCAATGATAATGATCAAAAAGGATTTTGTTTTTATTTTTTATGGAATTTATTTTCGTTTCTATTTTTTACGGAATATATTTTTAGTCAAATTTTTTTAGTAAAAATAAAGCCTTTTCTATTAACATGAATAGCAAAAGTTAAAGAAACAACTAACAGTGGGTTGATATCCTATGGTTTGATTAAAAAACATAAAGTGAATGGTTGAGAAATTTATATATGAATTCATTGTGGGTTTACTAGATTACACGCGACTCATAGGATTATAAACTAATTAATAGGGTTGATTTGCTATTCATGCCAACTCGTTGACCCGGCAATAAAAAAAGTGTAAATACCTTTTTTAATCCTCAGTAAATTTTACGACGCCTGCTTTAGTCTCTAACAAATAAAAAGGCTCGTCGTGGTCCTTAATAAATTCAAAATGGATCCATTTAGTTAAAATCGTGGTCCCTCACAAATTCAAAAAAGATTCATATTAGTCCCTGACAAGGACTAAAATAGATCTATTTTGAATTGTTTAGAGATCACGATGAACCTTTTTATTTGCTAGGGATTAAAGTGGACTTCGTAAAATTTGCTGAGGACTAAAAATGATATTTACTAAAAAAAATATTATTTCAGGCTACGGGTCAGATTGGGTGGATTCAATTTTGCAAACAGACTTCTTGACCCGGTTCCCGGATTCCCTCTTGGTTTCGCATTTTGTAAATTGCGCATTATTCCATACGCAATTTAAATGCATACATTGTCATATCATATGCGTATGACATGTGGTAATTGCCATTCGCATTTGCATAAATCATACATCGTTCCATATGTTAAGTGTTTAGGATAGATGAATACCATGGAGATTTTGCTATTTAAACAGTGAAGGATTCAGTTTTTTTATATATATATACATATTCCAATCGATTGATTGCTTTATGATTAGTTTAATTTGAGATGGGTTTTAAAATTAAAATTTTAAATTCTTCCTAAAGACAATATTGAAGAATATCAAACATATGCTCTCACTGTTAGAATATTGAGACTCTAATATTGAAATATATAAAAAATACTGAAAAGAGAATGCTACATATTTCTTCAATACACCAAGCCTATTAATAGGCAACACAAAACTCTGAAAGTATCAATGAAGAGACTCGTTACAAAGCTAATCAAGAGTCTCATAACACCACTAATTAACAACTCATAACATCAGTCATCATACCCCTAATAAACATAACAATTTAACTTATAACTCACATAAGAAAACTAAGAGACAACTTACTCTTCAATATTCTAACTGACACAAGAAATTAATGAGATACTTCAACATTCCCTCCCTTAAATTGATGTTTGCTAACAGTCAGTTTAAAGTATACTGACACCTAATAATCTTCTTAACTTCACAAATGACTCCATCTTGAGAGCTTTAGTGAATATATCAGCAATCTGATTTTCACTCCTGCAGTAGATTAAATAATAGCTCCATCATTACAAAGATCTCTTAAAAAATAAAACTTCACATCAATGTGCTTGCTTCTTCCATGTAGCACATGATTCTTGGATAATCTAATTGCTGAATTATTATCACACATAATTTCAATAGCTTTGAGTTGCTTGAATTGAAGCTCCTCAAGAATTCTCCTTAGCCAAATGGCTTGGCATGCACAAGTTGTAGCAGAAACAAATTCAGCTTCTGTGTTTGACAAGTGACAATTGGTTGCTTCTTCGATGCCCAAGAAACAGCACTTGTACCAATCATAAAAACATAACCTAATATGCTCTTCCTATCATCTTGATCTCCTGCATAATCACTGTCAGTAAGTCCCATTAAATTAGATTTTACACCCTTCTTGTAAAATATCCCGAAATTTCTTGTTCCTTGCAAGTAGCGAAGGATTCTCTTGGCAGCCAACAAATGCATTTCTGTAGGATTCTCCATATACATGCTAATTAAACTTACAGAATACATTATGTCTGGCCTTGTTGCAGTGAGATACATTAAGCTTCCCACAATTTGTTTGTAGATGGTGTTGTCAACCTTCTTTCCTCCATGATCTTTGTGTAGCTTCAAGCCACATTCAACTGGAGTGTGCATAGGATTACAATCCTTCATCTGAAACCTATCTAGAATATCTTCCACATATTTATTTTGAGAAATAAAAATTCCATCACTTGATTGTGCTACACTTATGCCAAGAAAGTAATGCATCATACCAAGATCAGTCATTTCAAACTCATTCATATAGACTTTTTAAATTCTTCAAACATAACATCACAATTTCCAGTGAATATGATATCATCTACATATAAGCAAACAATAAGCATTTTTCCTTTATCACCAATCTTAACAAAAAGTGTATGTTCATACGGACACTTTATAAAACTAGCCTTAAGAAAATAAGACTCAATGCGACTATACCAAGCTCAGAGGGCTTGTTTTAGTCCATAAAGTGTCGTTTTCAATTTGTAAACTTTATGCTCATCTCCAACCTTCTCATAACCAGGGGATTGTTCAATAAATACTTGTTCCTCC